ATTTATTTATTTATTTGACAGACAGAGAGAGACACAGCGAGAGAGGGAACACAAGCAGGGGGAGTGGGAGAGGGAGAAGCAGGCCTCCCGCGGAGCAGGGAGCCCGATGTGGGGCTGGGGGATCATGACCTGAGCCGAAGGCAGACACTTAACGACTGAGCCACACAGGTGCCCCTCTTCTTTTTTTTTTAAGATTATATTTATTTATTTGACAGAGAGAAAGAGAGAGAGAGCACAAGCAGTTGGAGCGGCAGGCAGAGGGAGAGGGAGAAGCAGGCTCCCTGCCGAGTGGGGAGTTGGATGTGGGACTCGGTCCCAGGACCCTGGGATCATGACCAAAGCCAAAGGCAGATGCTCAACCGACTGAGCCACCCAGGCGTCCCTAGATTTATTTTGTTTTCTTAACTTCACCTCCTTTTCCTCTCATAGTTAGAGGATTCAGTTCAGTGTCCTATATCTGATCTGGTGCTGCTAACCCTCAATTTCTTAAAATTCATTAAAACGTATATATTTTTTTAACTTTAATAATTACCTATTCTCTAAAATCTTGTATCTTAACAAGGCAGGACCCCGGGACCACGACCCAAGCTGAAGGCAGACGCTCAACTGACTGAGCCACTCAGCCATACCATCTACTATATTCTTAAACCATACCAACCTTCTTCAAATTTCTCAAATTTGCTATAGTCTTTGGCACTTCTGTGTGTCTTTTTCTTTATGGAGTGCTAACCCATCCCCCCATCTCTGACAAATGCCTGTGCAATTGAAAGAGAGTGACTGGGGTGGTAATTATGTTTTAATTCCCCAGAACTCTTGCCCTCGGGTGGTTCTTCATAGTGGCATGTTTAATTGTGAGGATGGGATATTCTCTTGAATCTCTCTAGGATACTTAGAATTTTTAAAAGGTTTCCTTCTTTTTTTAAAAAAAAATATTTATTTTTAAAAAGATTTATTTATTTAAAAAGATTTTATTTATTTATTTATTTTGAGAGAGAGAATGAGAGAGAGAGAGAGCATGAGAGGGGGGAGGGTCAGAGGGAGAAGCAGACTCCCCGCTGAGCAGGCAGCCTGATGTGGGACTCGATCCCGGGACTCCAGGATCATGACCTGAGCCGAAGGCAGTCGCTTAACCAACTGAGCCACCCAGGCGCCCAATTTATTTATTTATTTACTTGAGAGAGAGAGTGGGGGGGAGAGAGAGCGTGAGCACAAACGGGGGAGGGCAGAGGGAAAGGGACAAGCAGATTCCCTGCTGAGGAGGGAGCCCAATGCGGGGCTTGGTCCCAGGACCCTGGGATCATGACATGAGCTGAAGGCAGACGCTTAACTGACTGAGCCACCCAGGCACCCCAAATTTATTTTTTTAAAGTAATCTCTACCCCCAACATGGGACTGGAACTCATAATCTGGAGATCAGGAGTTGCATACTTTTCCCACTGAGCCAGCCAGGCGCCCCTAGAAGATTTTTTTCTATCTTGGGAATTTACACTTGCAATGAATGGCACTCCCCAAAGCCAGATGCCTCTACTGGCAAGATGAGTTTTGCATTGTATCTCAAATTACTCATATCTAAATCAGTGTTGAATGTGTGGGTTTGGTTGTAGACCCTTGGTAACCAGCCTGAGCGCTCAGTGGAAAGGAGGGTGGTGAAGAACATTTTCGGTTCTATCTTAGGGAGGTAAGACTTCTACTAATATCTAGAAATTTCCCACACTAGCAAGGGTGAATAGGAGGTGCTAGATGGAAAAACATGATACCATCTACTACATATTACATATAATTTCCCTCTGTGGCAGAATAGTGCATGTAAACATTTACATTTCTGTTGAATTTAATCTGACATACTCTTTTATTTCCAGTGTCATTAAAAAAGAATTCCATTCAAACAAAAATTTAAAATTTATTGACCAAATATTTAGTCATTGATTCCATTTTTTGGTGGCTCATTGTTTCTCATTTAGATCATATGGTATTTATATCCCTTTTATTTAGGAAAAATTAATTGGAGTTTCTTTTTTGTGACTGTTATTTTTTAAAATGATGTATAATAACTTTCATATGCCAACTCACAAGTATATTTAAAATGTTTATTACTATATCGTATCCTTGTATGGATATACTACAATCTATTCACTTTTCCTTGTTTTTAGACATTTGGATTTTTCGCAATTATTCTTTACTATAAATGACATAGCAAAAACATGAGTCAGTGTTCTGGGTTGCAAGAAACAGAGATGGACTTCGATGAAAAAAAAAAAACCAAAATAAATGTATTGGGGGAGCTGGATAGCCCACAGACTTGGTGAGAAGTTTGGCAGATATCAAGGTACCCAGAAACATGGCTTATAGAAACTCCCTAGAAACAGGCTGGTTAAGGGCTGCATCATAGCCACCAGACACCCCCACTAGATGATCACTGCTGCCACCCTGACTGCTACCAACACTGGGTCCCCAAGGTTACTGCTGTCACCATTTACTGTCCCACTTCCCCTGCAGCTTTGTATCTCTCTCTTTCCCTCAAGAGTCAAAGTCCAGGGTGTTGACTTCTGCCTGGCTAATTCTAAGTCATTTGCTTGTCTTCTTGATGGCAGTGGGTGGGCAAAGAGGTGTCTGGTGGGGACCTGTCTCCTACTAAGGCTCATACAGTGTTTGGTTTCACTGAAACAGGAAGGGAGATTGGATGTTGGGGTCAGGGGGAGACATGTAATTATTGCTGCATAAATTTTTACACGTATCTCTTCTGGTTACCGCCTAGGGATTGATTCCTGGTATTAGAGTCATGAAACCAATGTGTATGAAATTCTTAAACTTACTTGCCCTCCATTTGTCCCTTTATTCTTAGTGTTTTCATGATTCTTCTGTCCTTGTATTACACGTTTCTCTGGGTGACCTCTTCCATTACCATGGTTCAAGGGTTTGAGCCACTGTAGATATGTGGGTGAGTCCAAAATACTTATTTCCAATTTAGGTCTCTATCTTGAACTTCAGACAAATTGATTTAACTACCTAACATAATCTGTGGATATCCTAGGGACATCTGTGAATATCAAAAGGTCCCAAACAGAATTCGTCATTTTCCTCCTTGAGCCCTATTATAGTATTACCTCATTTGGTCAATATGACCACTATACCCCTAGTTCTCAAAGTCCAGATTTTGGTTTTTATCTTTGATCCTTACTCCTCCTTTCACTCTTCCACCAAATTATCTCCAGATTCTGCAAATTCTACTTCCTAAATATCTCTGGAATCTGTCCTGTGTTCTGTATTCCTTAGTTTAGGTGCTTATCACTTTAGTTCTAGATTATGGCTTTGGTTTCTCTTTTGTTTTAAAAAAAAGATTTATTTGAGAGAGAAAGCACACAAACATGCATGTGAGTGGGGGGAGGGGCAGAAGGAGAGAGAGAGAGAGAGAGAGAGAATCCTTCAGCTCGATCCCAGGACCCTGAGACCATGACCTGAGCCCAAATCAAGACTTGGCTGCCCAACCGACCGAGCCACCCAGGTGCCTGGGCTTTTGCATCTTAACTGGGTTTGCTGCTTCCAGTCTTGCTCTCACTAGCTGCAGTTTTAAAAATTTATTTATTTTAGAGACAGAGAAAGAGAGAGAGCATGCATGTGTGCGCAGTGGGAGGAGTAGATGCAAGAGGGACAAGCAGATTCTGTGCTAAGCACAGAGCCCACATGGCACTCGATCCCACAACCCTGAGACCATGACCTGAGCCGAAATCAAGAAAGAGTTGGATGATTAACCAACTGAGCCACCCAGGCGCCCCACCAGCTCCAGTTTTAAAACGCATAGACAATCATGTTGTTTCCTTGATTAAGATGTGATGAAGATTGGTTATTTCCTCCAGGAAGCCTTCTCCAACCACTTTGTCTCTCTGCTCCTTCCTGTCCACAAAGGTTAGCTGACCCTTCCTGGTCCCCATGGCACCTTGGGCTCACCAGCACTCTTCATACCTTGTTAAAATCTTTGCTGCAAAAAGACTGAGAACTCCTTGAGGGCAGAGCTTATGAGATTCATATTGAGTCACCAGTGCCCAGTGTAATGCCTATGCACAGTGGGTGCTCAGTATAAGATTTTTTTTTTTTTTTTACAACCAACACATCTTTTATTTACTTGATTGAAAGTCTAATGGTACATATGAGGTTTAATCGAGTTGCCCTCCATTTTATTCACACTGACTCCATGGAGTTGTATTTTCAAGCATGATTCCGCTCAACTGCTGCTCTTGCTGGGGCTTTGTTTTCTTTCAGGGTCAAGGTGGGTACTTTCATACAAAATCTTATTTTTAATTCCATCTCCAGCAATTCTTTCCTGGATTCTTAGCTTCGCATAATTATACCTACAATGGAACCAGCATCCTAAAGTCACCAGGATAAATCCTCCTACTGCAACGTCACATGATCTTCTAATCCTACCTTCCCCTTGGCGGGCTCGCCGGGCTCCGGTGCGGAGGCCATGGGATCTGGTGGGTGCCTGCGGCCCCTCAGTATAAGATTTTTGAATGAATGTTATGAATGGGTTTTAACCCATTATGAAACAAGTGGTAGTTGAATAAGGAGTTAGATGACCAGTTAAACTTATGAAACCCAAACAACTGCATTTATAGACCCTATGTTACCTTTCAGGGACAAATCTTGGAAATACCATGTCCATTATAGGGTAAACATGATTTCTTCTTCAATGGATCACAAACCACTTTTTCAAAGTGGAGAAAGGAGAATCCTGTAAGAACTAGACTGTGAGGCCAAGAGATTTATTCCACAGAGGAAAAAACCTACAAAATATAGGATATACTTTATACAGATTTGGCAGATAATGAAACCATAAACTATTTAATTTTTTTCTTTCACTATCCCAATGTTAATTTTGTGGGGTTTTTTTTGGTATTGTTTTGGTGTGTGTGTGTGTGTGATGAGCATTGATGTAGCAGTCTGAAAGGTGTATTTTGGAAAACCAGCATGGGAATGACCTGGTGACCCTTGTTTCCTTTTAGGGCCATCAGTCTGGCTGGCCGGTCCCAGGAGAAGGTTACACACTTGAGATCACCCAGCACCAGCAGCTTGCTGAAATTGACTCAAAGCTCCAAGAACTTTCTGCAGCCTCACCAACAACTTCCAGCTTTTCTCCAAGACTTGAAAACCAGAGTGATCAGGTAGATTTTTTTTTTTTTAAGATTTTATTTATTTATTTGAGAGAGAGAATGAGAGATAGCACGAAAGGGAAGAGGGTCAGAGGGAGAAGCAGACTCCCTGCTGAGCAGGAAGCCCGATGTGGGACTTGATCCCGGGACTCCAGGATCGTGACCTGAGCCAAAGGCAGTCGCTCAACCAACTGAGCCACCCAGGCGCCCGAGGTAGATTTAAGAGCATACAGACTGTTCAGGTTTGTGTGCTAAAGCTAGTTCACAGAATTTGACAATCTGCTTGTTGACTAAAGAGTTTCTTCCCAAATATTTTTTCCATGACTACAAATGCAGTGATAGTGAAGTATGTGTATTGCGTGTATTTTTCTTTGCTGACTTCACTTCCTCTTCATGTTTCTTTCAGTTGGTAATTTGCTGGGAGGGGTCACTTAGGAAATATTTATTTTCATGTTATTATGTCTTTCTGATTTAAGCTAATTCTTGATTATGATCAGGAGACAGGATAGGGAAGAAAACTGGTAAAGCGCTCTTTTGTCCTGTGAGAGCCTTATTTCTCTGGGGTTCTAGGTATCAGCAATGGCAACTGCTTGTCCCTTACACTGCCAGATTCTTCTTTTAATTTAACAGTGAAGCTCATTACGTTGATGGCTTCTCTCTTATGAGGATTTTGAAATGAATGTGTTTCCTCTCTTGCTAGCTCTCTCAAATATTCTTTTACAATTTTCTGTGTAGAAAAACAGAAGAGTAACGGCTGCTTTGTAAAAGTAAAATTCTGTTTTTCTCCCCTCAGTGCTTCATGAGATCTAGCTTGGGGTCAGGTAGTAGTTTTCACCCAAAGAGAAAATGGCTGGTCTTTTGTTATTCTACCTCTACCAGTTTTGTAGGCATTTTACCAAATCAATTTCTGTACAGTCTTAGATGCATGTGACTTTTTTGGTCCTAAAAAAGATTTAAAAATAAATGTTCTATAGGTAATAATTCTGCTTTATAGCGAGTCTCGAAGCCATCGATTGAAGGTTGGGGATCTGGCTTTGGGCCATTTGAAACTGCTTCAAGGGAAAAGAGGAGTGTTAAGATGTTCCAAAGAAAGTTTGGTCACTGGCAGAACCTTCATGGAGCCATGTTGGCTTCCTTAGCTTATGTTCGCAAGGGCCAGGCACAGCTGCTTCTGAGCCCTTTATACAGCAAGGGTGGTGGTAGTGGAAACCACTCATTTCTGGATTGGGATAAGAGTTCTTGGAAAACAGAATCGGAATCTCTGGCCCTGCCCAAATGTACCCCAGGACTTTGACACCAGTTATGCCACTCGTTTATTTATGTCACTGGGTGTCATTTCCCAAAAGCAGGAATCCAGGATGGGGAAATAAAATTGTTCAGGGACTGAGAATTTAGAGATTTGTTTAGCCGTTAGAGCTTAACTAAAGTGACTATGGTAAGATTCTGTCATTGTCATTTAAATCACATTTTCAGAGTTCACATTTATAGTTCAGAAAAATATTTAAAAAATACTAAAAGGGAAAACCAGTATATTATTTGATTGTCACATACTGAGATTATATGTTTTTATGTGAAACAACATATGGTTAGAGAGAAAAGAGAAAACTGCATTTTGGGACTCCCACTGGATGCAGAAACAGAAATGTAACATCATAGTTGATGAAAAGAATTAATTAATGGTTCTTGCATGCAAAAAAGAAAAAATGTCTTTTGAGCTTTTGTTCAATTTCCCCTTGGCGTTTCCTCATTTCTAACTAAAACCAGCATTGCACACTGAATTTTTAAGCCAGAAATGCTAACATGGCAAATTATTTTGCAGATATTATTTTTGGATTGGAATCCTTTTTGGATAAATATACTGAAAAGTATCTTGGTTCAACCTTGCGTATCTATGCAGTTGATGAATGGGCTCCAATCTGTTGCTGAACCACAAATATTCATAGTGCATATTCACATTATTTTTATTTTTAACCCTCTGCAAACCATTAACTCATCAGTAATTTTTCCTCCATGCTCCTTATGAAAGAATGTCTTTCAAGTGGAATATGAATTTCTGTTTTTCAGCAGTTGATTCTGCAATATTAATCAAGTGCTTACTGTGTAGGAATTGTAGGGCACTGACAGACAAGGCAGGTGAATGTAGAACTGTGGAGTCAAAAAGCCTCACTTCGAGTTCTGACTCCTCCACTGACTAGCTCTGAGGCCTCAGGCATTAATTAGAAGCACCCAGAACCCTAGTTTCCTTGTCTATACAGTAATAATAATACCATTCTTTAGGGCTCTTTTAAAGGGTGTTTGAGTTGATTTGTGTAAAGTGCTAAGCACCGTGTCTGACACAAAACTCAACCAATGATGTTACTATAATAATAATAAGTGACTTAAGGAACACCTTTCCTTTCCTTTTATACACATGTGGTACAAGACGAAATAGGTGAGCACAGTAGAAAGCTACAGAAGCAAAGTGCTGTGGTGCTTCCAGGGAGAGAGAAAGCGCATCCAGAAGGAATATCAAGAAAGTCCAGTTCCACAAGAGAGGGACCAGAGAGGATGAGGAACTAGTGAATGAGGCAGAAGGGGCCAGAGGCGCAGAGAAGAGCGCCATTATACAGCACGAGGTTGAGAATTGGTGGCCTGCATGGCAAACTTGACTCACACATGGGTTTCCTTTAGCCCACATAGGGCTTACAATTTTTTTTTTTAGCTGACATTTCATAATTGGGTGAATTCCTATAAATGTCTACATTTCTAGTTTTTCTTGGGAAAGTAGAGAATCTGGCAACCTGAAACCTGAATCCTTGCTTGGCAAATTACAGGATTGCTCTGAGTAGCAACTGCTGCTTTCTGTGGAGCACAGATTCTCCCATTTGCCACAGTATTCACGACTCCATATCGTATTGCAGGCCCCGAGGCCTCCTGCATGCATGTGGGTCACTTACCCAGTCCCTGCGCAGGCTGTCAAAACATCGTTGAATGCCTGCTTGTTTTGTCGGAGATGCTGTGGTGGCTGACATCAAGTGTCAGATTGGCATGTGGCTTCATCTCCAACCTTTAAGCAGCTTGTAGCGTCCTGGAGGATAGTTTTGGAGTGACCATACGGTGAAAGAAGTATCACAATATGGAAACCGATCTTAGGAAAGTATAGAAAGGGTGTACTGGCGGGGAAGGGCAGAGAGAAAGGAAAGGTTATTTGCTGAAGGCATGATATTTAAAAAATTCCTTTGGAGATTTTTGTTTTGTTTTGTTTTTATTTTGGACAAGAAAACAGTTTCCCAAACAAGTCAGACTTTCTGACTTAATGGACTATGGCAATTATAAGGGGCTAAGCGGGTAGGCGCGTGAGCCTAGGATGATAAACGTACTCGAGTCAGAATAATTTGAGAGGCTCCAGAGATGTGACTCAGGGATTAAGGAAGTTGTTGTGAAAGGAGCAGTTAAGAACTCTTTTTTTCCTTTTGGGCTTGCTGATTAGGATACTCTCAGAGGATACCTTGGCCTGGCTCTTTAGTTTATGGCAATATTTTAAAAGCAGAATTTGGCTTTTATGTATCTGATTTCTTTAGTGTAAGACAAAGCATGTGGTCACATTCAGAAGGAAGAATGGCTTATTACTACTATTGCTGTAATGTGAATAATATCATGTGGGTGCCGTTTTTACATCTGGTTTTTATTTTCATTTCATCTTAGCAAAAGAGAACTAATTGAAGCAATTTTTTTCTTACGATCTGTGGTTTAACTGTGCATACCTTTGCATATCCATCCCCTAACCCTCCAACAAATCAGTTAGTTCTTTCCTCATATTGTAAATCCCACCATAAAATTGAGTGATGTCCTATAATTTAGTCACCATATTTCTTATTTGTGTCTTTGATTCCAGCTTTCTCTTGAAATATCCAAGGTATAGGAGTTATGTGGGTATTTAGTTTCTTAAGTCCTTAGCAACTGGATTCAATAATAAATTCTATTCCATTTGGCTCTTGTAAAGAAGTGTAATTTATTCATGTCTCATGCAATCAGTCATACTAAATCTAGAATTCCAGTTCTATGGTTAGATTTTTTTTTTTCTGGTTGGGAGAGGGTCTTCACATTGTCCTCATTGAAAAGAGGCATTTCTTTGTTCTTAAACCAGCTGGTTAAACTGAACATAAAGGTGTCCCTTAATTTGATTTATTTATTTTTTTGTTTTTAAAATGTTGATTCATTTGTATGCATTTTGGTAAGACCAACAAAGAATTAATGAACATTTGATTGATGGAAATTGTAGTTGTATTCATCTTTTTTCTTACCAAGAGCATACTGTTGCTGACAGCAACAATTAACTGTTTTTTGTGTCTCTTCCTATTTCACCATAGCTAAAGTTGAGGAAATAGAAAATGTTGTTTGACATGTAATCCCGAAAGATGTATCATTGTTGAGTCCAGGGTTTTGCAGAGTCCTGTTGATGGCCAACTAGTCTACTTGACGTCAGATTACTCAATACCCTAGTTGAGGGCAGGAATCTGGGAATTTTTTATGTATGCTAATCACAAGCACAGAAATCTTACTGACCATTGGCTCATATCCAAAAACTCTATAAGTATGCTATAAAAGCATGGATTTTTGGGTTGAGGAATAAACAAGAAGTTGTTTTGAAGGTCATTGCTAACCTGTCAGACATTCCCAAATAAATCTGGGGAATTCTTCTTGCCTCTTATGTTTTACAGATTACTTTTAAGTTTGTATTTATATTTCTTTATTTTTCTATGTTAAGTGTCCTGTGTAGTCAAGGTTTCTTTTGTTTTATTCTAAAATGGTAAAAACAATTTGGCTGTAAGATTTTTTCCCCTACTTCTCGTACTGCCAGGCAAATGACCCATCTGATGACAGAAAATAGCAGTGGCCTTTGGAAAAATATAGCTTTTGTTTGAAAACATGGGGCAAGTTGGCTTTATTTAGGTAGGTTTGTATTTTCCTGTTTAGTTAGCTTCAGAGAACCCTGTTGGCTCAGTCAACACCAGAGATATTTTTCTAAGGTT